TTCAGTCCTCACATCTCTTTCAGGGATAGATACTAGTATTTCCCCCTTCTGGACGGGAAGCTGAGGGCCACAGGGGTGAGTCGCCATCCCCTGGAGGTTTGTGCGATGCTCAGCACGTAGTAAGTGCTCAGCGAACAGTGTGTGTCAGGCTGAGGCTGAGATCCCACCTCTGGCCTGGGCTCCCCGTTTCTTGGAAGTGTCCCCGATGGGTCCCCCTCCCAGCCCTCCGAAGACATCAGATCTACCCAAACTAGGATTCCCAGCTGCAGGGCAGGGGCTCCTCTTGGTGCCCCCCGCAGGGCAGCTCCACCTGGTCTGTCTTTTTCCTGGCCACTCAACCCAGAGGTTCCTGCTGGTGCTAAAAATAGGCTGTGTTTCCCGGAGGCTCCAGCTGGGACCCAGACCGAGATGACTAAAGGCTGCACATCTGTGGTCCGTGGATTGGTCTCCCCATTCTCTTGGGCAGATTTTTTGGACAGAGAGAGGAAAGAGAGAGAGAGACTTGAAGAAACAGAGACAGAGACACAGGGTAGAGAATGGCGATGGCCCCGAGGCAGGACCGTCTTTGGATTCCTTGGATGCTAGTGGACTGTGGAACCCCAGAGCCACCCAGCCCTGAATGACAGAAATCCTGCCTCCACAGAGCCCTGAATCTGCAGCCTCCCGAGGCCGTCACCTGAGTGTGTTGGCAATGGCATGAAGCCATGGTCGTTGGTGTGAGCCCTGGGATGGGGGGAGCCCACTCTCCTTCTGCTCATCCCCACCTATGTTTCTTGGGAGCCTACTATGCGCCAGGTGCCGGGGTAGAGCAGTGACCGCACCGATGGTGTCCCTCCTGGAGGGGTCTGAATTCCAGGCGCTTTTGCTCCTCACGTGGAAGGACCGCGTGGGTGGCTCGGGCAGCATCTTTTCTCCTGCTCCCTGTCCCCTGCCTTCCCCCCGCCCCCCTGCCAGCTGCTAAGGAGCTCAGAGTCCTCTCGAAGCCCATTTGGCACCCACTCAGAGCAAAGCTGTGTCGGAATGTAAAGGAACCAGGGAGCCACCAAAGAGGCCAGACCACAAATAGTGTCAGAGGCACGAAGCCACAGGGACCCCCGACCGGCAGCCCACGTGCTGATGTGGCCATCCACCCCCAGGGCTCCTCCGTGTAGGCTGCAGGGGGAGAGCGGGGTGGGGGCTTTCCCTGAGCATCCCCTCTGCCAGACAGCCTCCTGCCATTTTTTAGAGCTAGTTTTTTTGGGGGGGTACCAGGGATTGAACTCAGGGGCACTCCCCCTCTGAGCCACATCCCAGCCCTATTTTGTATTTTCTTTAGAGACAGGATCTCCCTGAGTTGCTTAGGGCCTCACTGTTGCTGAGGCTGGCGATCCTCCTGCCTCAGCCTCTTGAGCCACCGTGCCCAGCCTCCCTACCATTTTCTTTCAATCCTTTCACAATTTAATTTTTAGGGCTGGGATCCTTTGGCTCATTTTACAGCAGGGGGACCCCAAGGGTCAGTGAGCAGCGCTGACTTGCCCAAGGCGCTCGGCCAGAAGGGGCCGGGTTTGAACCCAGAGCGGCTTGTGCCCCGGGGCTCAGGCTCCGGCTGAGTGTCTGCAGAAGCCAAGGTGACCCGTCCCCTCCCGGCTTCTTCTGCGGAAAGATCTGGCACGCGGGTGGCATCTGGGGACACTGGGGATATTGCACATCTTCAGAGTGGCCCGGATGGCGGGATCCCGGTCTTTCTGAGGTGTGGGTGACGCAGGCCAGACCCCACCCGGCCAGGCACTGCCAGGCTCCCTGAGCTCCCTCGGCCCTTTGTCCTTCACCCAGAGAATTCCTGCTCCTCTCTGGAGACCGCTCTTCTCTCTTTAGAGCTGCCCTATCAAAGACTTCGCCCCGGGGAAGCCCGTCCAGGTCCCCCAGGCCGTTCCGACCCTCACTGCTCCAACACCCGCCTTCCAGGGCTTTCCACAGCAGGGCCACAGCCTCCTGAGATTTGAAGCCAAAATCTGGGAATTGATGGGCAAAGGCCCTTGTCTGGGCACGTGGCTCTAGTTGTCGTCATTTTCAAAGGGGTAGAAAGAAGGCCGTGGTGAGGAAGATGGGCTTTGCAGTCGGGTGGCCCTGGATCTGCAGCCCAGCAGCCACTGCCTGCTGTGTGGCTCTGGAGGAGTGACTCAGGCTCTCTGACACTTATTCTCCAACCACGCAAAACAGAGACAGCTCGCCCGCGTGGAATTCACCAGTGAAGTCCCAAGTTTTCAATTCTGAGACTAGTTCAACAAAGGTGACACTGGTGCCTTCAAATAAGCTGGAAATGACTATCCAGAGCTTACATAGATATGATATTAACTGATCTTATTACATTACGATTAATGCACTCTGATGGGATTATATTGTTGTTATTGTAATCTCTTTACATGTTCTGTAAGTTCTCACAGGTGTCTCACATCAGGGATGATGGGACCAATGGATTAAATCAGAGCACACAGCTGTGTAGAAGGAACAATTTATAGCACGTATCAAGTGCTCAATAAACATTGTTAATATTCAGTGCTGCTCTCCACTAGGGTATTTGTCCTTTTCTATCTGGAATGGCTACTATTTAAATGGCCTTCTCCCTTAGTTGGCTCTGGATTCCCTGAAAGCAGACTCTGAGCTACTTAGTCCTCATTCCTAGCTCACACATAGTCAGCAACCAGCAGACATTTTTAAATGAATGGGAGGAAATAGGATGCCTGGGTGGACAGAGATGGTGGATGTTTGGATGGATGGGTGGATAGGAGCATGGTGTGATGGATGGATGGTTGGATAGATGGTGGGATTGATGGATGGGTGGATGGGTGGATGGATGGGAGGATGAATGGATGGGAGGATGGTGTGATGGATGGATGGGTGGGTGGATGGGTGGATGGATGG